CAGCTGCATCTGGATGTGATACACAAAAGATTCTAAGTCAGGGATAATAGTACGGGTCAGTCACTTTCATTTGTGCAAAAGAGTGGAACTGCCTTTTCTTGTTTCAGTATTACTGACCCTTGCAGTTTATTGTTTGGTGGGTGTCAGGGAAAGTATGTGGAAGGAATTCTGGTATGTTGTGTTATTTCAAAAACTAAGTCATGGAAATGTGATTTTTGTTCCTCAAATTCTGTCCACAATTAAAATTTTCAGCCAAAATCAAAGAAAAGTCTTTTTTTGTGTTTTGTGCCATTTATTCTGTATCTGTGGAAATGGCAGTTCCATTTTGCTTTTTATTGTTTATACAGTTAATTGTTAAAAGTATGTTTATGTTGGGTTTGGAAGTAATTTTCATATCCACTTATAACAAAAATATTGTAATTTACTCCAATTTTCTAATTTTGTTTAGACATCAAAGAAAAGATGGTATCATTAAAAAGATTGTGGCTGAAAGATTTAAATCTTGACATTGTAAGAAAACAGGAATATGCCATTAGTTTGGTTGTTCACCCAACTGCAAGTTTGTAATTGTGGTTTACTAAAGCTGGGAAACAATTAACATTAATGTTTTACTTAGAATGTTTGTTTGTACATAAAGCTTTATTTTTCACTTTTAAGTGTAGTAGGCTTTAGATTTGTTTCTGCTTGTTTACTGTATTCAGTATTGTCTGTTATGAGCTAAGGTAGAGATCAGGCATTCTGTGATCTTGACGTGATAACTTGTACAACAGACAAATTGATCACATCAAACTGCAGTGTGGCAATATTTGTCACAAGAGATTTAGATATTTGTGTTGCTTTGTTTGCAACCAGAGGACTAGGTTGTCACAAGTCAAGTTCCTAGCTTATTTACACATACTTCTTACTAAATAATATTCTAAGGTGATGTAATTGTGTAGATGGGATTTCAATTAATAGCAAGTTATGAGCACAAACAGAAAAAGATTTTTAAAAATTGCTAGTTTGAAGGAATACATAGAAGAAATCTGAGGGCAGATTGAAGTGGATACCTTGGACCAGATGGATAGGTTTGTCTATTTACAGTAAATGATAACAGAAGATGATAGGTATGTAGAAGTTAATAAGGTAGGAAAAAACCAAAAATAATCTTGTGAAGATGAGAAATGTGTTCACAAGAGAAACCTCATAATTTGCTATGTTCTATACACATTCCTGTATGCCTCAGAAACCTGGACAATGTATGGAAGGCAATAGAAGCCCTAAAAAGGAACATCCAGAACAGAAAACCGTGATTTTCAGCTGTGATCAAATGGCTAAAAAAGTTAGAAATCTCCACGACAGGATTAAGTGGAAGGAGCAGAAAGAAGGGTCGACCACGGCATGTAGTTGGATGATTGAGGTCATACAGTAGTTGCAGATGAGCTACAGTGAAGGTGTGGCGATCGCAAATGACAAACGAGCGTAGCATGCTATAACTGCAGAGTGCCACTAGAAAGTGAAGACTGGTAATGGTTTAACCTGAAACACCACACCTCAGGCAAGGAAAAAGATTGAGGAGAGTCCTTCATGGTGACCTCACAGGCACAATATTTGTACCCATGTTGTTGGCATCACTCTGCATTGTAAACAAGCCGTCCAGCTAACTGAACTAACGGACTGTACCATCATTTAGGAAGATTGTGAAAGCTTTTGTGCAAATGGTAAGAGATTTGTGAGCATGGTTCCAGGAATGCGAGTCTTCACGTTTATGGAAAGATTGGAAAAACTTGGGTTGTTCTCAGAGAAGGTTGAGGAGACTTTTGGTCAATGTATTTAGAATCATGTGGGATCCAGACAGATTAGGTAAAGATAAATAATTGCTTTGGGAGTCGCCATCATGAACCAAATTGAAAGTGATTGGCAAAAAAACCAAGGGTGCCGCGGGAGAACCATCTTATATATAGTGAATGACTAATGCCTGGTATGCATACCAGAACATCTGGTGGAGGCAGACAGAATTGGGCTTTTCTAAACAGAATTGAATAAGCACTTGAGAAATGATTTACAGCACAACAGATAGAAGAAAGGGTAATGAAACTAGCTGAATTGCTCTTGCAGAGAGCTGGCATGCTTTTAGCAGGCTGAATGGCCTCTAATTGTGTCACCATACTATTATTCTCATTGCTTTTAAGCAGAAGTGAGAAATGAAGAATGAAGAATAGGAGAGTTAGCAAATCAGGTTCTGTGAAGTAGGGTGGGACAGGTCCTTGTAGAGTTTACAACAGAATAATTGGACTGTGATATTTTCTTTCCTGTAAATTCCATTCATTAGGAGGACGTTTATAACTTCCCCTTTGCAAACTTCATGCAGACAATTGTACATGCTATCGCTGTGACACTGTGAATCATGACTCTGTTTAAAAAAAAACCTGACCTGACTTACATGAAAGTTACGAAAAAGTGAAAATGAGAAACCCCAGGAATGGGGACAAGAATCCTGGACTCAGACCCCACCTATCATTTTTAAAGGGCTATTGAGTCATCCTGACTTGGCAAATTTCCAGACTTAAGTAGTCACAACTGAACTTTCCGCAGGATCTAGAATTTATAGGAAGGCGTGCTGGGTCAGTGGTTAGTACTACTGCTTCACAGCCCCAAGTACGCAGGTTCAAATCCACCCTTGGGCAACTATCGTGTGGAGTTTGCACATTCTCCCTGCGTCTGCGAGGATTTCCTCCAGATGCTCCAGTTTCCTTCCACCATCCAAATATGTGCAGGTTAGGTGAATTGGCTGTGCTAAATTGCCCATAGTGTCCAGGGATGTGCCGGCTAGGTGGATTAGCCATGGTAAATTCAAGGTTTCAGGGTTTCAGGGTTACAGGCATAAGGTAAGAGGGTGGGCCTGGGAGGGATGATCTTCGGACGGTTGGTATGGGCATTTTGTTCACTCCCTGGTAAAGCTAGAATAGCTGGATGGTTGTTATCTCAACCTGATAATGGCATTGAATTTCATGCTACAAGATGCACTGTCTCTTGTATAATACCTCCCAATGCTGCATTATATGTATAAATGTGTGACTAAGTTCTTTGACAGCAATAATTGCAATGCAGGTTACAGAAAAATGTGAAATTTGGATATGACAGAAAATTGTTACATTTGTGAAACCAGAAGCTTGAAGCAATAATACGTTGTCATTGTTATTATACTGAACAAAATTGTTTAGTGATTAATGTATTCATAAACCTTGAATTGTTATACTGCATCATCGTGACACCTAGAGGTAAACTAAACAGTTAGCACATGATAGCTCCAAGTAATTAAGACAGACTGATAATGCCCTGAGGTTGGTTGAAATTAAAGTGTAGGTTTAAAATATGTCTGTTTAGGAAATTCCCATCTCTCTGACAGTCTCTGGGAGACAGTTTAGATCTTTTAGCCAAAGCTTACAATAACCTGCAGACTCAATGCAAAATTTATGCCATGAAATTCATGATTGACCTACATTTCTTGTTGTCCATTGGTTTAATACTGAAGTTCCTAAAAATGTTGAGAGAGTTGGTGCATTAAGTTGAAAATAAGATGCATTAAGATGTACATACACAAGATTGTCTTTTTACTACGTGAGGAGAGGGAAACAGGAAAATAAGGAAGCATAGTGGACTTGTTTCTCAACAGGGGCAAATCCACAGAAGCAGCATGTGCTTGTTGGAATGGGAATATGCCGAGTAACCAAATCTGTCAAATTGAGATGTTATGAATGAACAATAATGGCACTTGCTGCTGAAGTTTCTTTTTCTCCTCCTTGACATTTGAAACTTAGTTTCAGGATCACACCCTTATGGCTTTTGTGATTAATGTGAGCTGTACCTTGTAGTTCAGTGTTACCTTAATTATCTAGGATCCCATTACTTGCTTTCTTGCTGTGAAAATTTTCATGGGAGTTGATTGGAAAATGTAGGGAGAGAAAGAGGTGGAGATGCACTGATTAACTGGGAGCAAGGAGCTTTTTTACTAATAGTGTCGTCAAATGTTTGCCATTGATTATTTCAGGTTAGGCTGCATGGGGTGGTGCTGCAGCTACAGATGATATAATGGGGAAAGAACCTGCACATGCACAGGCATGTACAATGCAGGGCAGGTACACATGTACAGACATGAATCTTAACTTCCTTGAAGATTTTGAGCTTGGGCTAGAAGTTGATCCCAACTCCACTGATGCTCGGCCAATTACTTACACGATTTTTTTGTGATTCCATCCAATGAGAAACAGTGAGCAGAACAGTCACTCAGCTGGTCTAATGCGCGGGCTGACTGCATCACACAGGAGGACTGATGGAAGATGGAAGCATGTTTGGAAGATGTGTGAAATTATTTGTGGCTTCTGTCCCATGCCATTATTGTGAAGATCCAATTCCGCCTCTCCACAAATGTGAACTGACTTGCTTTCTGTTGTTCTAGGCTCACGCACCACATATCCTGTTTCTTCAGTTACATTTTTTTGACAGTTGTGCATTATTATATCCACGCATTCCCATGAAGCTTGGGGACCACACAGAATAGTAGTCACATTAAAATGTTAAGGAACCTGTCTTAAACTAGTATTTCACCTGAAATAATATTGATATGAGTGCACCATTACTTTTGATGCTAGTGAAACCATTGGCCCAGATGGAACATGAAACCCACCCACAGCATGGTGTAGTTTTGAGTCACTTAAGTCTTTATGTAGTGTGAGGAATCAATCAATTTGAGATCAAATAATGAATTGTAATATTTTATTTCACTTCTAATAGCAATAAACCTGAACACTTCAAATTTAAAATTATATTTTTCTAAATTAAAGGAGAGCATATACTGAGGACCTGTGCTCCTATTAACAGCTATAATCGGTGTCTCACTAATCTAATGGGCTTCTGATGATTTGCAATGGGAGTCATCTGTTCAGAGTGCCCCTGTTTTGTCATATAGTAATTGAACTGGTTGTTCTTGAGATAGTAACGATAAATGCTTTTCTTTTCAGACTTGTCTGCAGATATTGGGTGTGGTAGCTGTAGCAGTAGCTGTCATTCCATGGATACTTATTCCAATCATTCCACTTGTCATTGTTTTTTTTTTCCTCCGGCGCTATTACTTGAAAACATCACGTGACATTAAACGCATGGAATCAAGCAGTAAGTTGGGCACTGAAAATTAAATTGTAGGCAATGATCTTTTCCAACTGTGTTAAGGATGGCTTTCCTCATGTTAACAAGGTGAAGGAAGAGGTATGCAAAGGACAAAAGGGGGGAGGTGGGACAGCCATTAGAGGAGAGAAGGAATTATATTTTCGGGCTTTTTTAAAAACCACCTTCCTGTATTGCTCAATGTAAAGAAGAATATGCACAATCCCCTACTTCCTGTTAAAGGCAAGAATTTACTTGCATTTAAGTACGTAACAGTTATCAGTGAGTGCTTGAACACCAATTTTGAACCAATAGTAGATTCTTCTCAGCTTGTTCTGATAAACTTTACTGCTGACTGGTTTACAATTATTTTTTAAAGGCTAATCCTATTTCACATGAGGTTTTCTTTAATTTTCATGCTCTAAAGTTGGCTTAATTGTAGCCATATTCATGAAATGCTTGTAGTGTATTACATTTTGATGGCTGTCACCACACTATTTAAACCTACAATAAATATTCAGTGCTTCTGCCACTTTACGATTCTTATTTGATTGGCATGTGTAGTAGTGGCATTCCTATTGCAGATTCATGGCTGGCAACAGAGCATTGTATCTTGATTACATAATCCTGCCGAGAGTCAACCCTCCATCTCTGATTTGAGACCCAGCCCAAAAAATGAGTTGGGTTGAATGTCTGCATGGTGTTGCTACACCGCTAGAACTCTGTCCCTGCTGGACCATCAAGCTCCATCAAATCTCTACCATGCACCCTCCAAAAATAAAGTAAAAAATGAATGTGAAATAATGCTATAGCAAGTTAAAATAGTAGAAAGTTGAAAACTATGATAAAATATCAGGACAACAGGAAAGACTTACCCAACCATTTTGAAATATGGACAAAGAATATGCAGTTAATTATTAAAGGCAATAATATTGAACATTAACACCAAAAGTGATTTAAACTATATATTTATTTTGTAATTTAGCTCGAAGTCCAGTTTTCTCCCATCTATCTTCGTCCCTTCAAGGAATTTGGACGATTCGTGCTACAAAAACAGAGCAACAGTTTCAAGCAAAATTTGATGAACATCAGGATCTTCATTCAGGTGAAATGTTTCACAAGATTTTTATTATTTTTGCAACTCCCCAATAAATTATCTACTATCTTAAAAATCCATTAAAAAGCAAGGAGAAAAATTCAAAGCTAAGTCAGTGGTAATAATTCACTGTGATACTTGAAGCTTGGCTAAATGTATAGATATCAAATTCAGCTTCAACAGTATGACATTGTAACCATTGCAGCAACTGTGCCAGAGGTTTTACATACCTACATCAAGCCTCCATGTGTTTGGGAATTAAATGCTCCCTTTGCTCATTTTCCGGATATTATTGCTGGTGCTACAAGTGTAATTCTTTGTTGTCTTGTCAGTGTTGTTGCAAATAAGAATGATTTTGGGAGCTGAATATTGTTGGTTACAAAAAGACATGGAAATTGCAAGTGGAGCAGAAATATCAAGATAGACATTTGCCACTTTGAGATGAGAGATTTCAGGAAGTCTGAAATGACAGTGTAAAGATTCATAGACAATATTAGAGTTAAGGGACTGCAAATCGTGTATCAGTTGTCTACAACTGCCTGGTTCCTGTGGTGAAATGATGATACATATAAAGGTGGAGGTTAGCAAAGTGAATAGCAGAAACTGATTTTAATGGACTTTTGTAATTTTCCCAAACCCTGACAGCAACAGGCAAGCTAAAGTAATAAAGGTAATGGATATCTATATTGTATTTCGTACCATTTAACATGACCAGTGAGCCATTCTGGATTTATTAATAGATAATGAAACCGAAGTAGTTAATGGTGTTAACAACGATGTGCAGCAATGTGGAAATACCACTGTATGATTGACCTTGATAATATTAGTTTAGAGAGGGAGAGGGGAAAGTCACAAACCAAAGTTTACATTTAAGTCAGGCAAACTTCAAAGGGATGAGAAACGAATTGACCGCTGAAACTTTACTAAACCATTACGTGGTGAGCCTACAAGTGTAAAGTGAGAAATATTCAAATATGCATTTAAATAAAAAATGAGTGCATTACATAAAAGCAACCATGGGCAGCAAATGACATACGAGAGAATATCGAGGTAAAAGAAATGCTTGCAGAATTGCAATCAAGAATATAAATCTCGGCTTCGAAAACCATGACAAGCAATGAAAGAGTATAAAGGAGCTTAAAAGGTGTGTAGAAGGGAAATCAGCCAAAAATGAAACAACTCCACAGTGACTGCTATCCTGTCGCCAAGTCACCCATTCTTTGTACATGGAAAGTCCTAGAAACTACTCCAGCTCCCTCAGAACCAGCTCTCAGTGCCAGAACATCTGACACTCCTCTTTTTATCTGTCAGTCTGAGCTCTCTGATTGGACCAGATTAACAGAACCAAACAGGGAACTCATATTCTGAGGTCCACCTAGCTGACCTCATTGCAATCACAATATCCCTTCCACTCCGACACTGAGGGCATAGGCCGGTCCTTTCTCTTGTAGAGCCTCCTGATGCATTTTAGCACCAGGTCAGGTTTCTTCAACTCTGCATCAGATACAGGCAGTGTTTAACGCATTGAAGCTCGCCCCTTGCACCCGGAGCATCTTGGGAGACATTCACTCTCTTCTTCCAGCGGCATTGGTGTCAATGCAGTGAAATCCTTTGCTCTTAAGCTAAATAACTCTAGTTTATCCAATCTGCCTTCATAACGAAAACTGTCTCAAACTTGATTGAGTTTTTTGAGGAAGCATCAAAGATGATTGAGGGAATGGCAGTGGATGTTGTCTACATAGACTTCACAGTAGGCTGGCCCAGAAGATCAAATTGCTTGAAATCCATTGTGAGTTGGTAAGTTGGATGTAAAATTGACTTGTCCACAGAATATGGAGAGTAATTGAAGCGGGGTGTTTTTCTGACTGGAGGCCTGTGGCCAGTGGTGTTCCACATGGACCAGTGCAGAGACCTCTGTTGTTTGTAATGTATTTGAACGATTTGAATGAAAACGTCGGGGCTCTGATTAGTAATTTTGCCGATGACACAAAAATTAGTGGAGTTGTAGATAGTGAGAAAAGTTATCAAAGGATGCAGCAGAACAGAGATCAGTTGGAAAGTTGGACAGAGAAATGGCAGATGGAGGTTAATCCAGACAAGTGTGAGGCATTGCATTTTGGGAAGTCAAACGCAAGAGGAAATGGCCAAATCCTGAGGAGCATTGATATACTGAGGGATCTTGGGCTGCAAATCCATAGCTCCCTGAAAGTGGCAACCCAAGTGGAGAAGGTAGTAAAGAAGGTATCTGGCACACTTGCTTTCATAGTTGGGGTATTGAGTATAAAAGTTGTTAAGTCATGCCGCAGCTGTATAAGACTTTCATCAAGCCATATTCCTATAATATTCCTATTGTCTGGTTGCTGCACTATAAGAATGATGTGGAGGCTTTGGAGTGGATGCAAAAGTGGTTTACCAGGATGTTGCCTGGAATGAAGTTTATTAGCTACAAGGAGAGGTTGGACAAACTTGGATTGTTTTTGCTGGAGTGTCAGAGGCTGAGAAGTATATGAAATCACAAGGCATGGCTACAGTGGATAGTCATGTTCTTCCCAGGCTGGAAATGTCATGTACTAGTGGCGTAGGTTTAAGGTGAGAAGGGGGAAAGTTTAAAGGAGATGCGTGAGACAATTTTTTTTATACAGAGGGTGGTAGGTACATGAAATGTGCTGCCAGAAGAGGTGGCAGAATCAGATACAACAGCAAAGTTTAAGAAGCATTTAGACGGACACATCAACAGGCAGAGATAAGACAGATATGGGCGATGTGCAGGCAGGTGGGATTAGTTTAGAATAGCATTATGGTCAGTGCAGACATGGTGGGACCAAAGGGCCTATTTCTGTGTTGTACTGTTCTATGTTCTATGTAAAACTGTCCAGCCTCCAGCATCATCCTGGTAAATGTCTTCGCACCCTCTCCAGTGATATCACATCTCTGCTATAAAATGAATTCCAGACCTGCATGCAATACTCCAGGTATGGCCTAACTACCGTTTTATCCAGTTCCAGCATAACCACCTTGTTCTTAAAGTCTCTGCCTTGACACAAAGACATGTCTAATATAAGCATAAAATAAAAATTTTAGCTACCTATTCCCAGGGATGGGTGTAAATGCATGCTGAGGTCCCTCTGATCCTCAGTGTTTCCCAGGGTCCTACCATTCATCATATTCCCATAACCTGTTTATCCTGCCCAAGTGCATCACCTCACATTGAACAAGATTGAATTGCCTTTGCCACTGGTCAACCTATCTGACTAGCATGTCTATATTCTCCTGTATTCTACGGCTATCCTCCTTGCTATTTACCACCTCACCAATTTTGATATCATCTGGAAACTTACTGATCAAACCTTTTACGTACAAGTCTAAATCATTTATATATGCCACAAACAACAAGGACCAATACTTATTCCTGTGGGACCCCTCTGGACACAGGCTTCCAGTACAAAAGTCCCCTTCAACCCATCACCTTCAGCTTCCTCTTCTGGTGTCTGGATCCAATTTGCCAAATTTCTTTGTGTTTGGATGATTACCCATCTATGTGTATTAGGTGTTGCTATCTGTTATGGATATAGCACCTTTTGTGGTCTCTGATTTCAGTCTAATTTACAGTTGAGATGATTATATTCTAAGAATATAATTGCTGCAATTACTAGTCTTAACTTGTATTGATAGAAAACTGTGCTCAGAAAACCTTTCAACTTTCCAGTTCTGTGTAAAAACTGTGTAGACCTGTCAAGTTGTGTATATTTATGTATGTAGGTAATTAGTTTACTGGCAAAGTTAACTTGATGAAGAAACCTGGTTGCCAACTTCATTCATCACTAGATATAAACTAAAATTGAAATTGATTGGCTGTGGTGCGTATTTGCCTTTGGCTATTAATATAACTATGGTTTAGTGTTGAATGCTCATATTTAATAAAATCTTTTCAGGTATGTATTTGTTTGATGCTGCAATTAAGGTTGTGTCTTCCTCATCCTATTAAATTTTAAACATATTTGAAACATAAAGTATTCACCAGTGAATGCAATGCTTGACTTAGACATGGAAGCCTAGGAGTAATTATGGTCAAGTGCTGTGTCTGACTGTAAAAATTATGGGGCATGTGGCATATTTGCTATTAGTTTGGTTAGTCTATATGGGAAAACCTTTTAGAAACACAGCCAGCAAAGAATTTATACATTTCTTTCTGTGAACTACTGAATTTTCCGCTTGCTGTATAATTATTTAGGAATATACTTGTTTGAAGTTTGGATCTATCAACGATTTACAAGAAGTTTTGAGCCATATCAGCAATTACCTGCTGATGGAGATTGTATTGATGAGTGCAACTAAGAATACTAGCCATTAGGTTCATGGGCATATATATCTTTCTTTTGAAGCTCACTGTGAACTTCAGTTGAGGTGTATATGCTACTTCCTCTTTATTAGACAACATTGCTGGTTCTGCAATTGTAATAGCTGGGTAGTTGTTGCTACTCAAGAACGGTTATATTAAACACCAGGAGTGTTGGATTCATTTTAGAGAGTCAAAACTTTAAAAGCAATATCAATGAAAATGTTTACAGCTTCAATTTCAATCATGCTAATCAATTCAGCCCAAATTTGTATTTGAGCATAAAGCAGTGTTCTGAATTGTTATGACAAAACAGTGTACTTCTGTGTGATTTTCTTAATTTTATTTCTTCTGTTGTATTTTCTGCAGAGACATGGTTTCTTTTTCTGTCGACTTCACGGTGGCTTGCTGTTCGCTTAGATGCACTTTGTGCAGTTTTTGTTAGTATTGTTGCTTTTGGATCTATAATAATTGCCAACCGTAAGTAGAAATTTTAACTTTCTTTACAATGTAATTTGTACTGTAATTTAAGCATACAAATATAAAGGTACAGATTAGCCATGTAAGTAAAATTTGTCCAAACATGGACTATTAAATTGGTTTTCTTGTATTAAAAGTTGTTCACTTTTATTATCCTCCATTCACTGCATTATTGAAGGACAAGTAGTAGATAAGTTGAACATTGAAACGTGTGGAGTGGTCAGATTTTGGATGACGACTTCCCTGTTATTAAAGTGCAAGCTTTGAACAAGATCTCGATTTCTTCCTGTGATTCTGGTAGATTAGGCCAGATATTATATAATGTTCTTCACATTGATCAATTTTTTTTTGTCATTTGAGAAAAAAGTGAGAGCTAATGCCCAGAGCACGGAATACCAAAGTTTAAATATTAGACTGGGTCTGTGGCAGGAGGCGAGAATACCAATGAGAGGGAAAGACATATTTGACCTCATCTTTACCACCTGCCAACTGCAACTGGCAGTGTCCATGACAGCATTGGCAAGAGTGACCACTGCACAGTTCTTGTGGAGACGAAGTCCTGCCTTCATATTGAGGGTACTCACTGTGCTAAATAGGACAGACTTTCAACAGATCTAGCAGGTCAAGATTGGTTATCCATTAGGTACTGTGGGCCATCAAAACACAATTTGCACCCTCATGGGCTGGGATATTCCCCACTCAACCATTACATCAATCCAAGAGATCAGCCCTGGTTCAATGAAGAGTGCAGGAGGGCATGCCAGGAGCAGCACAAGGCATACCTAAAAATGTGTTGTCAACCTGGTGAAGCTCCCAAACAGGACTACTTGTGTGCCAAACAGCATAAGCAGCACGTGATAACAGAGCTAAGCGAGCCCATGACCAATGAGTCAGATCTAAGCTCTGCAGTCCTACCCACACCCAGTCGAACCCACAAGAGAAGGAGGTTCCACAAATATTCCCATTTTCTAGGATGGAAGACCCCAGTACATCAGTGCAAAAGATAAGACTGAAGCACTGGCAGCAGTCTTCAGCCAGAAGCACTGAGTGGATGATCTGTGTTGGCCTCATCCAATGATCCCCAGCCTCTCAGATACTAGTCTTCAGTCAATTGAATTCACACCATATGGCATCAAGAAATGGCTGCAGGCACTGGGTACTGCAAGGGCCATGGGCCATTACAACATTCCAGCAATAATACTAAAGATTTGTGCTCCAGAGCTTGCTGCTCCCCTGGTCAAATTTTTCCAGTACATTTACATCACTGGCATCTACCTGGCAATATGGAAAATTGCTCAAGTATGTCATGTACACAAAAATCAAGAAAAATCCAACCTGATCAATTACCATCACATCAGACTACCCTTGATTATCTGTAAAGTGATAGAAGGTTTCATTAACAGTGCTATCAAGCAGAACCTGCTTGCTGATGCCCAGCTTGGGTTCCAGCAGAGCCACTCAACTGACCTTATTAAAGTCCTGGTTCAAACATGGACAAAGTGCTGAATTCCGAAGGTGATGTGAGTATGACAGCCCTGACATCAAGACCACACTTGACCAAGTATGGCATCTAGGAGCCCTGGCAAGATTGGAATCATTGGTATCAGGGAGCAAACTCTCTGCTGGTTGGAGTCCTACGTGGCATGTAGGAAGACGGTTGTTTGTGAAGATCAGTCATCGCAGCTCCAGGACATCTCTGCAAAAGCTCCTTAGAATAGTGCCCTAGGCCTAACCATCTTCAGCTGCTTCATCAATGATCTTCCCTCAATCATATGGTCAGAATTAGGGATGTTCACTGATGATTGCACAATGTTCAGCACCATTCACAACTCCTCAGATATTAAAACAGTCCATGATAAAATGCAAAAAGATCTGGACAATACGCAGGCTTGGGCTAACAAGTGGCAAATAACATACGCACCACACAAATGCCAGACAATGACCGTCTCCAATAAAAACAATGTAACCACCGCCCCTTGACATTCAGTGGAAATTGAAATTCACTGAAGTCCCCACTACTAGCATCCTGGGGGTTACCATAGACCAGAAACTCAACTGCAGTCTCTACATAAATACAGTGGCTATAAAAGTAAGTCAGAGGCTAGATGAGTAACTCACCACCTGACTCCCAAAGCTTGTCCACCATGTACAGGGCACAAGTCATGAGTGTGATGGAAAATTGCCACTTCTCTGGATGGGTGCCGCTCCGATGACATTCAAGAAGCTTGACACCTTCCAGTACAAAGCACCCACTTGATAGGCACCATATCCACAAGCATGCACTTCCTCCACCACCAACTCTCATTTGCAGCAATGTGTACTACCTATAAGATGCACTGCAGAAAACCACCAAAGATCCTTAGACGGCACATTCTAAACCCACAACCACTTCCATCCAGAAGGACAAGGGAAGCAGATACATGGGAACACCACTACCTGCAAGTTTCCCTCCAAGCCACTCACAATCCTGTCTTGGAAATATATGGCCATTTCTTCACTGTTGCTGGGTCAATATCTTGGAATTCCATCCCTAAGGACATTGTGGGTCAACCTACAGCATGTGAGCAGCAACGGTTCAAGAAAGCAGCTCACCATCACCTTCTCAAGGGCAGCTGGGGACAGCCAATAAATGCTGGCATAGCCAGCAACGTCCACATCCCATGAGTAAAAAATGAAAAAAATAAAAGAATAAAAAATGGTGAGGTAACTCGGTATGTGATCGGGTTGTCACTATTATGCATTTTGCACTTCATACTTTAAACATCTTAAGTTTATGCCTAGCATGCACACCAAGACATCTTTCCTTGTAAAAGAAAATTGACCCAAGTTAAAGTGGGAGGAGAAGGGGGGAAGAAATGGATTTTGTTTGTCAATATTGAGTTCAATGCAGAACTTCAATTTGTATGGAAGTTTGATTAATCAACTGGACAAATTGTTGAACTCTTTCAACTATCATCAGTTCCGTGGTGTTTTCTTTGAATTTAATTTTAATTTGTGAGCTGGTATTGTATATATGCAAAACAAGCTCAAGTTTTAAAATCTCCAAGTAAATGGAAAATGAAATGGAAAAGGGGAGAAGACATGGTGATGGTATGATTAAATGGTAGAGGAAACTTGTCTTGTACTTGGAGCTCTATCGACAGTTGAGTCACACGTCACGCTTCAACTTCCTAAACCTTCATTTTATGACTTCCATCTTGAGTTAGCCAAGCTAACAAAGCACTGTTTTATTCTTTCAACAATAAAGGATCAACCAGATTCAGAACTTCTTGAGAAGCGTGTAATATGAAAAACCAGTTTACTAATGCAATGATTGTGACTACAACCCAGTCAAGTGTGACATCCTAACTTAATGAAAAGCATGAGATAGTAGGAACTGCCGATGGAGAACCCCATTTCTGAAGAAGGGTCCAGACCTTGTTATCTCAGATTCTCCAGCATTGGCAGTTCCTACTATCTCTGAATCAATTTTAACCCCACTGCGAAGCCCCCCATTTCTGAAGAAGGGTCCAGACCCGAAACGTCAGCTTTCCTGCTCCTCTGATGCTGTTTGGCCTGCTGTGTTCATCCAGCTCTACACCTTGTTATCTATCATTAATGAAAATCATGCTTTCCTCAGTTTATTACTGAGAGAGCTCAGTCTATTCTTCATTTCTAATAGGAAATTGAGTCGAAAACGTTATTGATTAAAATTCTTGGAAGGTATTTGGAAAGGCATCCTGTTCATATAGCTGTTAATAGATTCCTTCGATTTGAATCTTATGTCCTATGTCTCTTAAAAGCTTATGTCAACTTTTGAGTCCTTTAGAAACCTTGGGCTCAGGGCTAGGACACTTGCCTTTGAGTGGGTTTAAGCCTCATCCTACAGATGAGAGTATGTGTAAAGCAATGGTTCACAGGTGTTAATATCCATGTCACATTGACTCTACCCATTGCACTGATATCACTCTCGATGTTTGGAAACAAGGAGTTCTATGGTTGCTTTTGGACGAAGGAGGTATATCTTTCTGTGCTCCCTAGTAATTATTGCTTAACCAAATGTAGTTATCCATACCAGGGAGGAGGTGATACGCTGATATTGTCACTGAACAAGTAATCCAGAATGCTAGGCTAATGTTCAGGGAACATGGGTTTCAAATTTCACCATGGCAGACAGTGAAATTTAAATTCAGCAAACATCTGGGACAAAACGCTATCTTTATAATGAACATGGGACCATTGTTGGCTGTTGTAAAATCCTATCTGGTTCACTTATGTCCTTTTGGAAAGGATACCTGTCATCTTTAACTGCTTCATCTGTGACTCCAGACTCTCAGCAATGTGGCTGACTCGAGACTCTCAGCAATGTGGCTGACTCGAGGCAACTTGGGATGGACAACAAATGCTGGCCTTGTGAGCGAGTTCACATCCCATGAACAAAAATAAAAATGATTGAGTTGGTAAATAAAAGAACCAAGAGTGGTCTTCTGGAAAAATGCCACTTTGAGCACACAATTTGGACTAACATTTCAGTGCAGTAACCGAGTATTGAGGAAGTAGCATACTGGAGGAATTATCAAATGTCAGATAAAATGGTAAACTGTGTCACATTTATCTTCTCAGTTGGAAGTGAAAGACCCCAAAGTACCTTTCAAAGTGCAGGCAAAATTTTCTAATATCATCCCCAGCATTTATCCCTCCACCAAGATTACTAAACCAGTCTATCTGGTCATTCATTCAGTGTTATTTTGGATATCCAGCTGTTTGCAGCTTAACTGTTGCATTCCCTGCATAATAACAATGACTGTAATTCCAACATGCTTAGTGCCAATAGAGCATGGTGGTTGTGAGAAACACTGCAAACGTGGTTTTGATTTTAGTTTTCTCTGACTTTAATCATTAATCCAGGGCAAATGAGCTTTTATACCACATCTTTTGTGCCCTTGAGACATCCCAAATTGCTGCAGCATGGCAAATTAATTTTGTTTGGTAGTATTTGTAAGCAAACCGTCACGTATATTTTATGCACACAATGATACCATGGGTAGTAACAAAATAAGTAGCTCTTGGTGGATTTAGTTGAGAGTTGATCAAGATACCATTGGAAATCCTGTTTATTTTCAGCTAGCAGATCTTTTACATCCACATGAACGGGTAGGTCAGACTTTAATTTATTGTCAACTGATAATGCAGTTGTTGATGAATTATAACCTCAGCCTGAAATTTGTGCTCAAATCCTGATGTGTGACTTGAACCAATAACCTTCCAACTTAGATGTGGACGTTGCCACTAGGCACAGCTCTCACAGACTCAGGTTTCACTCACTTTGGTGAGTTTCTTGATTGCCCCATTATTTCCAGGAATTTTGTGGTTATGGGGAGGAGGACCAGACCATGATTCTAGATTGCTATTGATGCAGATCCATCGCAACCTTAGAATGGGGCCAAAGCAGATATTCCTTTCTTTATTCTGCAGTACCAGTGTTTGCTGATCAGGACCACACTGTAGATCCAGAGTATGTGAAACTTAGAGCAGTTCCCAATGTCTATGGATGACTTTTCTAAATCATATGTTAATCATGTGCTAGGTTCTATCAGAGAATATTTAGAAAAGGTTGCTCCTATACCCAAAGATAATCCTGGACATGATAGTCTAATGTTCTTAATTTTTTTTTAAATCCCTTGTTTTTTAAACATGGGTGGGGAGTGGAGGGAAAGAATAGCCTTAAGCTGTCAGTGTGAATTCAAAAGTAAGCACTGCTTGGACTTCCTTCATCGAGTGCAAGTTAACAAAAAAGAATTATCATCTCTTCTATAGGAAGGATGTTGTTAAACTTGAGAGGGTGCAGAAAAGTTTTACAAGGATGTTGCTGGGACTGGAGGGTTTGTGTTATAGGGAGAGGCTGAATAGGTTGCTGCAATTTTCCCTGGAGCTTCAGAAGCTGATGGATGACCTTATAGAGGTTTATAAAATCACGAACAGCATAGATAGCATGTTTAGCTATTGTTGCTTTCTTAGGTGGGGAAGTCCAAAACTAGAGGGCATAGGTTGAAGATGAAAGGGGAAATATTTGAAAAGGAACTGAGGGGATAATTTTTTCATGCAGAGAATGGTGCTCATATGGAATGAGCTGCCAGAGAAAGTCACGGAGGCGGGTACAATTACAACATTTAAAAGGCATCTGGATTGGTACATGAACAGGGAGGGTTTACAGAGATATGGGCCAAATGCTGAGAAAGGGGAATAGGTCACACTAGGATGCCTGGTCGGCACAGATGAATTGGACTGAAGGGTCTATTTCCGTGCTGAGTGACTCTATGCCTCTGTTTTCAAAAGAGCTCTTTGCTGACTCTTTCTGACGTCTTTGTTATGTGACCATGATACGTGGCTGAGTTCAGAGGTTACAATAAATTGAGCAGGGGCTGTGAGTCGCCAACTTGATTGACGGTTTAAAGATGTGATTAAAGGATTGACTGTATTTCATGTGAAGCATGAAATTGTGTTTGTTTTTATAAAAGTTGAGCAATTGAGATTTGAAAACTTTGAATAGACTTCATGAATGAGATTTTTTGCTATTTTGTGTGCGTGAGTGAGAGCTGTATTAGATTATTTATTTTTCCATGTATGGGGTTTGGTGGGTTAAAGTACTGAGAGAGCTGGAGAGCCTAATTGCTTCTAAAACAATTGGGACAGAACCGTTGGAAATTGAGAGAAGCCCACAATCAATCTGCCTTTGCATTCACCCATTCTCATGGCCTTCTGGTGTCAGTAGGCCCCACTCTCAATCCTGACACATCTTAACGGTATGAAAGTTAGAGCTAATAAGGTCCTTAAAACTAGATGGGACCGCTATGATGGGAAATTTCTTAACTCAAGGCTCATGACTCATCAGCGAAAATCTGAACGTTCTGTCCTCAGTGAGGAATTATATTGAAGGCGATGCACCCTTCTGTATGGTGCATTGACAAGGATTTTAATTCTGTAATTAAATCGGTTTTAGTGAGTTAAAATCTTGCCCAGCAATAATATACCAATGCTTTTTCCCCAATGTCCATTTCCCCCTCACTGCAAAGTGGCATTTTAATGAATGACATTTCAAACCAAAAATTGACAGATTTATGTCCGCCAGTTATACTTCTGAAAACTTGCATGACCATACTTTTAGCTACTCATATGTAGTCACAGGCATCTATGGATTTATAATCAACAGCCAACATTATAGGGAAATTAGAATCAGTCAAACTCCTGCAAAGAAAGGTCCCAAGAATGTGCTTATTCTTTATAAATTATTTTATAAACTTTCTCATTATTTTCATGGTATCATACTGACACTTGCTTCTATCATTTTTTAACCATCTTACAGAGCTAGATGCAGGACAGGTTGGATTGGCTCTGTCGTATGCTATCACACTAATGGGCATGTTCCAATGGGGAGTGCGACAAAGTGCTGAAGTTGAAAATCTGGTAAGAGTGCTGTTAAAATGTATTGTTTAGCGAACTACAAAAATTTAATTAATTGTCCAGTGAGTAGTTTCTGCTTTTGGCACAAGCAGTGCTCTGGGAGCAATTTGAATCCAATTTCAGAAGTGTTTCTGTCCTCATCATTCTGTTCAAATTTATCTGCATATCACCAAATATAAAATCTATTCTGAACCAGTGCATTTAAGGACTTTTTGAAACAAGTTTTAGAAGTTTTTGCCTTAAAAATATTCCTTGACATATTCAGTATTTAATTATTTTAGCTAAAAATGAATACAAAAATTTTGAATCACAATTTCAACTGACATGACTGTAAGTAACCTGACTTGAAATTGCAGAAATTACCATACAAAGTTATTATAGAGTCATAGAGCAAGACATAATGGAAATAAACCCATCAGCCCAACTTTCCCATGCTGACCAGGTTTCCTAAATTGAACTAGTCCCATTTGCCTGAATTTGACCCAAATCCCTCTAAATCTTTCCTTTCCATGTGTTTATCCAAATGTCTTTCAAATGTTGTAATTGTACTCATCTTTACTACTTCCCGTGGCAGCTCGTTCCATATATGCACCACCCTCAGTGTGAAAAAGGTAATCCTCCACTCCCATTTAAATCTATCCCCTGTCACCTTAAACTTATGCCGTCTAGTTTTGGAGACCCCTATCCTGGGGAAAAGACCTTGGTATTCACATTATCAATCCTCCTCATGATTTTATAAACCTCTATAAGCTCACCTGTTCCTACACTCCAGGGAAACCAGTCCCAACCTATCCAGTCTGTCCTTATGATTCAAGCCCTCTAGTCCTGATAACATCCTTGTAAATCTTTTTTGCACCCTTTCTAGTTATGTAACATTTTCTTACACGAGAATTGTACGCCGTACTCCAAATGTGGACTAATGCTGTCTTGAACAGTTGTAACGTAATGTCCCAACTCCTGTTCTCAGTGCTGTAACTGATGAACACAAGCATGCCAAACATCATCTTCACCTTCCTGTCTACCTGTGATGTCAGTTTCAAGGAACTATGTGTCTACACACCTAGGTCTCTCTGTTTAACAACACTCCCCAGGACCCTACTATTAATTGTGTAAGTCCTGCCCTGGTTTTTCTTACCAAAATGTAACATCTAGCATTTGTCTAAATTAAATGCCATCTGCAATTCTGCCTTTCCTTGGCCCAGTGGACTAGTTGATAAAGATCCCATTGTATTCTTAGATAATCTTCTTTATTATCCACTTTACAACCAATTTTGATGTCATCTGCAAACTTCCTAACAAAGCCTCCTATATTCTCATCCAAATAGTTTATATAAATGACACATAACTGTGGACCCAGAAACAATCCTTGTGGCACACTGGTGGTCAGAGGCTTCCAGTCTGAGCAACAACCCCTTCCTACCACCCTCTGTCTCCTTGTCTCAAGCCAATTTTGCTAGGTCTCCCTTGATCCCATGTGATCTAGCCTTACAAAAATGTATACCTTGTCAAAGGCCTTGCTAAAGTCCATGTGGATAATGTCTACTGTGCTGCCTGCATCTATCATCTTGGTCACCTCTTCAAAAGACTCAGTCAAGTTTGTGAGACATGATTTTCCTTGCACAAAGCCATGCTGACTATCCCTAATCAGTCCTGCCTTTCCAAATGCATGTTGATCCCGTTTCTCAGAATCCCCTCCAACAACTTACCCTCACTGATGTCAGGCTCACTGGTCTGTAATTCCCTGGTTTTTCCTTGTAGCCTTTTCGTAAATAATGGCGCAACATTAGCCACCCTCTATTCTTTTGGCACTTCACCCATGGCTGTCGATGATGCAAACATCTCTGCTAGGAGCTCCACAACTTCTTCCCTGGCTTCCCACAATGTCCTGGGATGCACTTGATCAGGTCCCAGGGATTTATCTACCTTTATGCGTTTTAAGATCTCCAGCATTTCCTCTTCTGTAACGTGGGCTCTTTCAAGGCATTACTATTTATTTACCCGAGTTCCCTAACTTCCGTGCCTTGCTCCACAGTAAATACTGACGAGAAATTTTAATTTAGAAACTCACCCATCTCCTTTGGTTCCACATGGATGGCCTCATCGATCTTCAGGAGACTCTATTCTCTCCTTAATTACTCGTTAGCTCCTGAAATGTGGAGGTGCCAGCATTAGACTGGGGCAGACAAGGTCAAAACTCTGACAACACCAGGTTATAGTCCAACAGGTTTATTTTAAGACATAAGCTTTCGGAGTCTCGTTGCTTCTTCAGATGTTAGTGAGAGAGCTGGCATCAGACACAGAATTTATAAGCAAAAGATCAAAGGGTCATAGAATTGATGCCACTGTATTGAACACACCTAAAATGGCTGTTAAATCTTTAATCAGTTAGAATCCCAGAATTTCTTTCAAGTCACTGCCCTGAGATAACAACAGTTTTATCAGTAAACCAGAGGTGATATCTCAGGTCAGACAATGTGTTTTAGGTGCGAGGCCTTGTTCAGAATCTGGCTGTGTATTAACTTGGGGTCAGACAGGTTTTATTTCCAAAGTAGGAATTAATAAAATGCTACATTGTCTACAAATCATGTGCTTTTTTGTGCAAAATAGAATGTATCTGCAATTACAAACCTGCAAATGCAAATTCACCCCATAGATTTATGTGTGTGTGTATGAGAGAGGGTTCTGTGTGAGTATGTGTATGTGAGTGTTTTTGTGTGAGAGAGAGTGTGTGTATGTGTGCGAGTGTGTACATGAGGTGTATAGTGTGGTGGGGTCACCTGTAATTCTACATGAACCCAAGATCCCGGTTGATGGCATCCTCATGGGAACCAAACTTGGCTATCAGCCTCTGCTTGGCAACTCTGTGTTGTTGTGTATCCTGAAGCCTGCCTTAGAGGGCATTTACCTGAAAATCTGAGGCTGAATGCTTGACAACTGAAGAGTTTCCTCACTGGGAGGGAACATCCCTGTCTGGCAATTGTTGCGCGGTGTCCATTCATCCATTGTTGTAGCATCTGCATGGTTTTGGCAATATACCATGCCTTGGGGCATCCTTGCCTGCAGCATATGAGATAGCCAATGTTGGCTGAGTCGCATGAGTATCTGTCATGCACGTGGCGGATGGTGTTCCCATGTGTAATGGTAGCATCCATGCCGATGATCTGACATGCCTTGCAGAGGTTGCCATGACAGGGTTGTATGGTGTTGTCCTGAAGGCTGGGTAGTTTGCTACACACAGTAGTCTGTTAAAGGTTTGGCAGTCATTTAAAGGCAAGAAGTGGAGGCTTAGGGAAGATCTTAGCAAGGTGCTCATCGTCATTGATAATGTGTTGAAGACTGCAAAGAATATGGCGTAGTTTCTCTGCTCCCAGGATGTACTGGATGACAAAGGGTACCTAATTGGTCATATCCCATGTCTATCTTCTGAGGAGGCCACTATACAGTTTTTTTGCTGTGACACTTCAGAACTGGTGATTGATGAGTTGAGCATCCTTTGTAGACGGTCAATGTGACATTTTATAAATTCCTACTTTGGAAATAAAACCAGTCTGACTCCAAGTTAATACACAGCCACATTCTAAACAAGGCCTCACACCTAAAATGCATTGTCTGACCTGAGATATCACCCCAGGTATACTGATAAAACCTTTATTTATCTCGGGGCAGTGACTTGAAAATAATTCTGGGATTTGCATATTAATCCTTGCTAACTGATTAAAGATTTAACAGCTATCTTAGGTTTGTTCAATATATTCACATCAGTTCTATGACCCTTTGATATTTTGCTTGTAAACTCTGTGTCTGATGCCACTCTCTCACTGACACCTGAAGAAGGAGCAAGACTCTGAAAGCTTGTGTCTTCAAATAATCCTGGTGAACTATAACCTGGTGTCATATTATTTTTGACCTAATATACTTGTGGAACCTCTTTGGATTTTCCTTAACCTTATCTGCCAAGGCTATCGCTTCTCCCTTTTAGGTGTACTCCGACACTTGCTGTACTCCTCAAGGGATTCACTTGAACCTAGCTGTCTATACCTGATGTATGCCTCCTTTTTCTTGACCAGAGCCTTAATATCTCAAGTCATCCACATGTCCGTACTCCTGCCAGTCTTGCCCTTCGCACTAGCAGGAACATGCTGGCCCTGAACTCAGGTTATCTCGCTTTTGACAGCTTCCCACTTGCCAGCCATCTCTTTACCTGCGAATAACCTCTCTCAATCAACTTTTGAAAGTTCTTGTCTAATACCATCAAAATTTGCCTTGCCACAATTTAGAACTTTAACTTGTGGACCAGGCCTATTCTTTTCCATAATTAATTTAAAAACTAATAGAATTATGGTCACTGGTCGCAAGGCGTTCCCCCACTAACACCTCAGTCACTTCCCCTGCCTTATTTCCCAAGAGGAGGTCATGTTTTGCCTCCTCTCTAGTAGATCCATCTAAATATTCATTGAGAAAGTTTGCTTGAACACACTTAAAAATTTCTCCCAATCTAAGCCCTCAACACTTTGGCAGTCCCAATCTATGTTTTGAAAATTAAAATCCCAATCTATTTCAACCCTATTATTCTTACAAATATCTTCAATCTCCCTATATGCTTGCTCTTCAATTTCCTGCTGACTACTGGGGGGAGCCTATAGTACATTCCCATCAAAGTGATCATCCCCCTCCTTTTTCTCAATTCCATCCAGCTTCACTGGACGATCTCGCAGGAATATCGTGTCTAAGTATTACCGGATGTTTTCCCTAATCAAAACTGCCATTCCAGCTCCCCTCTTGTCTCCCCTTCTATCCTTTCTGTAGCATCTGTACACCAGCACATTGATGTGCTGGTCCTGCCTGTCCCTCAGCCATGTTTCTGTTTCTTAATAGCGATGATACCCTGGTCCCGTGCCCTAAATTGATCTGCTTTATCTGTCAGCCCTCTTGCATTCAAATAAATGCAATTTAATTCATCAGTCTTCACTTGTTCGCTGTCACACTCTTGCCTGCCTTGTCTA